GAAGGTCAATTTTCTTTTGGAGATATTACTTCGTTCTTAACGTAAACGATCAGAGGTCAATTGTAATTGGCCTCTTTTGTTTAGTTGGATTTTTTCATTGTATAATATTATTCTTCTTTTTGACACTTTTGGTGCTTGATTCAGCTTTGTTCAACTTTAATAAAACTTCACTTAATGTAACCTGATTTATCTCGTGGTAATTTGGACAACATTCTTCACAACTTCTTTAAAATTTATATTGTATAATTGAGATGTCTTGGTTTATATCAGAAGGATTCTCGGGCAATTAGACTCATTACCTAATATATAAAGCCCTTACCAAGGAGTTGGCAAAAATACTAAAGGAAGTATTGCATCATAAGATTTTGAGTGTGATTCTGCTTCTATAGCTACATGTGGGACATCTTCGTGTTCTAGAGCTCTTCATTTTTCTTTTCTATTACTGACAATTAGGGACGCTTCTTGTAACTTTTGTATGGTGTTTGTAGGCAGCTAGAATGTTGGTTCAACCTAATGATCCTATTTTTTGTCTCTACTATTGAACCCTTGTTCATTAAGGGGATAGGTATTTTCCCGATACATTATGGACTATTAACAAAATAAACAGCAGTAATGAGAAAAGAAACATCTTTAACCTTCAAATGTAGAGTAATCCTTCCATCGCTTGAGTTTGCTAAATGATATGCTTCAACATAGCAAGGATCACTACTGCCAGTCAAAGTAATTGCAGTTGGAGGAACCTTGAGAAGAGTAGAATCAATTCCTTTTGTCAGCAAAAGAGTTAATTCACTAGAATCTGGCCTCCAAAGCTCTAAAATAGCCTTGTGAACCAAACCTTCCAATTTTCTGTCCTGAGCTGCAGCTGCTTCATAGAACTGCACGGTTAGTTTGTGATGGCTAAATGGGTAATCTCCTCTGGCTTCACTGACACCAGCCCACCTGTAATCAAGCAAAATTGACTTCATTAAATAAACTTGTCACTTGTTTATTTTTCAAGTAAAAACAGAAGAACAAAAATCTGAAAAGAAAAAACAAGAGTTTCGCAGTGTGAACTCCCAAATCCAACTTCGAGTCCTTCTTTCCAAAGATGATGGATAAAAAACAAGCTAACATGAACCAACCAGCCTCTGCTGCCTACCATCCTTACTCAACAGTCTTCAAATGTAAAAGATAACCAAACCTAAATAAAAGTGTCCTTCCTAGAAAATTGTAGTAACCAGTAATCCCATTAGAAATGACAGAAAAGTCCAAGTTTGGGAGAGAATGCTTGTTTCACCGAAATGAAGAAAATGTGCTAGCCTATTTGGGTGGTTCAGCAAGGACTAGCGTTAGAGGTAAAAATATTTTCCTTGAAAACTGAGGGCCATCGTATGGTGAGCACTGAAAACCACCCACAAAAAAGTTGATATTTAGCAAGGCAATATATACTGACCTGCTTTCTGGATTGTTTGAAGCATACTTAATTCTCTGTAGAATTAAACGGCATTGGTGTTTGTTGACTGAATCTGCCAAGCCATTAGCTCGGAATTCTTCAAGTTCTTTAGTCAATAACTGGCCAGCCCTAGGGTGACGAGAGCCTAATCGCTGAGCACACAAAAGCACTCCCTGCACATCTTGAAGTCTATTTGTTGTCTCTACTGCTGAATCTACGTTCGATAAGACCTTGTGGATATTTGTAACGATAATGTTTAATGGGTCATCAGGGTCGTCAGCTAGAAGGGGATCCAACCCTTCAAGATCAATATGCTCTGAAATTACCCAAAGAAGACGGGCAGTTATTCTTGGAGTATTTACCTGCCACATTATTAAGTTGACAATAAAGAACCATTAAAAACAGGTCGATATATTAGAAAAGAGAAAGATATACAAATTGAAATACCTCACGTAAATCTTTCACAAGTTCACGTTGCAAGTTTTGCAGCCTTGTCTCATTCAAAATTTGATCTTGAGATGCTCCATCCTTGATTCTTTTTACTCCTCCTCTGGTATCATATATATGGCATAGCCTAACTAGCAACTTCAAGTAACAATCAATTGCATATGTGCGGCCATCACAATCCCACTTGACACAGGGCCTACAGACTTCAACCACCTCCAATGCAGGCTCTGTCCAGTTTAGTGCTCCATAACCAGTTCCATAGGCCAAGGCTCCAATAACTCTGCTTTCCATCCCAGAGTTCTTCTGTTCGGGCAAAGGTAAAGATAACTGAAAGCAACTTTCCACCAATGAAGCAACCAATTCCTCCCTAAACAAGCCTTTACTTGTAACAGTATTAAGATCGTCTCTAATTCTAACATCTTCAAATAAAGAAGCAATATCAGTTCCTGCAAGAGGTTTTTGACCTCTACGAACACTTTCCTTGGCAAAAAGGTCAACACAGAGAGCCGTACGACAAATACACGCTAAGGCATGCATACGATCTGACTCTGCTCTCAAGTTCCTCACCATAAGAAGTAGTCTCTTGAACAATGAAACCTACTAACAACAGACATCATATGTCAGGATACAGTCCTACTTTTAAGGTCCAGGCAAAGATATGAGATCTTGTGAAGCAATTATAATTTTAGTTACACGCCACAAAAATGCAGGACAACATGTTGCATAACAAAAAGTAGAATAGATGAATATGAACACACATACCTGCATGTGCAGATCAAGGAGGTGAAGATTGGTAACAACTGCCCGAACAATACTTTCTCTAGCAGAAGAGAATTCTTGCCTATCCCAGAGCGTGAGAATTGCTATGATCGACTGAGAAGCCCACTCAGGCTTCCCTCCAGGCACATCAGCCAAGTACAGCATATTAATCCCTACCTCAAAAATCAATGCCGGGTCCAACGAAGAAGCTAAAAATGGCGCTAAATGGGTTGCTACATCTGAGACTCCCACAAACCTCTCCGCACTTGAGTCCATAGTGGTTCCATTGCCAGTAGAAGATTTCGAAAGCTTACTGATGACTTCAGCTGCCCCAGAAGCCACAGCCTTCACTGCATACACAATTGGAAACACAGTGGCCCTAAAGCTCTCCACAGGCAGAATCAGGGACCTCGCCATTAATGCATTTCGCTTCTTCCAAACGAAGTCCGCCATTGATGAAATCCAATTGGACCTAATAGCAAGTGAATTTTCACTATCCACCAACTTATCACCTGCCAACCTACTCATTCTCTTCGAATCAAATTCCTGGAACAACCTTCCGACTGACTCGAACGCAACCTTCGAAACCGCATCCGACTTATCCAGCATGTTTTTCCCAATACGCGACCACCAATTGGAAACCTTATCGAGCAAACTAACATTATTCTCACAGAGCGTGACAAGGTCATCCCTAGCAAGAATACACCCCAAAGTTTCGGTGATCGAGAACCTCAAATTATCACTATTAGAATCGAAAAAAGCAGAAATTTCTTTATGGGAGTCACTAATCAGCTTGACAAGGCGATAGGAAGGGATCGCAGCAAGAATTGAAACCCCAGCAGCGGTGACATCAGGGTCAGGAAAGTCGAAATCAGTGCGAATGCCAGTGCACACAATGTCCCAAAGATCCGAAGTAAGACGAGTAGAGCGAATAAGATCAAATGCGAGCTTCTTACAGACGGCAGAAGCAGGGGAGGCTACGATCTCCTCAACGGCGGACTTGGCGATGACGGAGATATCCCGGCCGGCAGCAGATTGTTGCAGTGCCTGGAGGAGAGCACCGGATTGGCGAAGGGCGTCGTTGGAGCGAAGGTCGGCTTGGATCTGAGCAAAGAGAATGTCCATGGAGATACGCTCGTGATCCAATAAGCATGAAACGAGAACCTTGGAGAATTACTACCAGAAATTTGCGACTGAATAAACCGCATAAATTGATTAAGAGATTGTTGGGTGTTTGATGGAGCGGAGGAGGAAGAAATGGAGCGAACCTGAAGCGGGCAGTTGTAAGTGGCAAAGGCGAACGAACGTGGCTTCGATGACTGTGCTGCCATTTGCCGACCGGTATACGGGCTATGGTGGCTTGGTTGCTTTCAAATTGTGGGCTCAGGCCTAGGAGTGAACCCATTGGTCCTAAAGTAATGGCAATTTTTTATTATATTTTTAATATTTTAGTAGAGATGTTCGTTTATATCGTAAATCTTGAGTAACCTAAATGGGTCGGGAAATGGAAGAGGAAATGAGAGAGATTTCTCCCGTGATGTTCTACATTAGTTGGAGAGGAGAACAAACTACTATTTTAAAGTCTTGAAGGGAAGCACAAAAGTGAAAGTACAAAGAGAACAATATCTGCTATCAGTGGATCTGGGTCGTTACAAATGATATCAGAGCCAGACACCGGACGATGTGTCAGCCTTCTCGTTGTTTCCTGGAGGGGGGTAGACATGAGGCGGTGTGCTAGTAAGGACGCTGGCCCCAAAGGGGGTGGATTTGGGGGCGGTTCCACATCGATTAGAGGAAGGAAAGAGTGTCAGCGAGGACGTACGCGTTTTAAAGTCTTGAAAGGAAGCCCAAAAAGAACAATATCTGCTAACGGTGGATCTGGGTCGTTACATCTCCGGTTGGATAAACGTTCTCCATCACTGTCTCCACCCTCACTCCCGCATTCAACGCACTATACTAGAAAATAAGCACAAAGTTCGTGAAGTCAACACATAGTTAAGGTGCAACATCGAGCTATGAGCTCGTGCGATTGCTGTGTAAGGAGAGAGGAAAAGACAGTAGGTGGGTGGTAGCTGATCTCGAGCTACGTGTTTGTGGGTGTAAGGATAGATTAGGCTCGACTATTTATAGTAGAACGGTTAACGTTTTCCTAACTTTTTATAAAATGTTCGGGTTACAAATTATACATTATTTTTTAACAACAAATATAAAAGGAAACACATTAAATTTTTTTATTCATATTATAATTTTTTTATTTGGTGATTTCAATAATTACATGAATGAGAGATGATTGGTTCTTTATGAAATTAGCTATATATATTCAAATTCATAAAGTTTCAAATTATTACAAAATTATAATTTACTAAAATTAATGCAAAGAGAGAGAGAGAGAGAGAGAGAGAGAGAGAGAATGATACAGCCCTAGCGGCCTTGTCCCACCCCCTCCCCTTGACGCTGGCTCGACGGTGGATGTCCCCTCTGTTCGTGTTCTTCACAGATCTTATTCTTTCTCTTGGTCTCAAGGTATTTTCTCTATTCCTATCTTCGTCTTATGCTTATTCATGAATGTCTGCAAGTCCAAGCTCGATTGAAAATTGATATTTCACAATCATATGAATTTGAGACCGAGAGATGCTTCATTTCGTTATTGAATTTCAGTATCCATGTAAATGTTTGCCCCCCTTTGGAGGGTTGATTTGAATTCCACTCGAATGAATGGAAATTGAGGGATGAAGAATATGTAGTCAATGAAAGAAGATCCTGGGAATTGAAATGAGTTCATACTCTGCATTGCACGTTGGGGCATATAAATTGTTGCTGCATTATACGCTTCTTTTCTTCCTAGAGAGTTCTTCTACTCCAGAATTTATTTTATTTTCTTTGAACCAAGTTGAATTGTTTCTGTCATTTAGTGGATCTGTGGCATTTTGCTTTTGGAAGCTTTTTTCGGCTCCTTCGCTAATAACATTCTCAATCTCAATTTTTCAATAGGATGTATAAGAAATTGTTTCTGGCTTTGAGTGGATCTGTAACCTTTTTCCTTTGGCAGCTTCCTCATAGCCTTCTTTGATACCAATCTCGATCCAATTGATTCTTGTATAAAATTAAAAGAAAAAAAAAGTCCATTTTGGTTCTTATATTTTTTAAAAGTGACCATTTTGATATTTGTTTGCAAACTTCTAACCCAAATTCTTTGTGGTTTAAATGGAAACTCTTTTAAACAAAATTATGACTATGTTCCAAGAAATTTATGTATAATGTTGTGCTGAAATTGTGTTAAAAATGAGGTAGGAAACGAAATTAAAGGGCCAAAACAAACACTTCATTTGTAATGCATGTCTAGTTTGATTTCTTGCAATCTACGCCTTGGTTGTTGTTTTGTTCCTTTGATTTCTACCACTTTATTTGTAATGCGTGTCTAGTTTTGAAGGCTTTTGATTTGACTTCTTGAAAACCCATTTTAGAGCAGTGTTAGTACGTGAAGTTTTGCTTGTTTGATGACGAATTTGTGACTTGGAATTTCTGTGTTGTTTAGTTTCTTTACAAAGGTGTTTTTAGTTGATGGAGAAGGACAAACCCCAGAGCCATTCTGGTGGATTTCTATCCCCATCAAGTCGTTACCCAGGTCTTTCTCCAACTGGAAGCAGTTTCAATGGAAAATCTGAGGCAACCTCGTCTTCAATGACGCTTCCTCCAATGGCTTCGGGTGCTAATTCTGATTCAAGTCAATTCAGTCACGGAATGTCCACTAATTCTAATCAGTTCAGCCATGATATTTGTCGGATGCCTGATAACCCGCCAAGAAATATTGGTCACAGACGTGCTCATTCAGAAATACTGACCCTTCCTGATGATATATGTTTCAACAGTGACCTAGGTGTCATTGGCAGTGCTGATGGGCCTTCCTTTTCTGATGACACTGAGGAAGATTTGCTGTCCATGTACCTCGACATGGAGAAATTCAATTCTTCCTCTGCTACCTCTGCAATACAAGTTGGCGAGTCATCTGCTGCTGTTGTAGATGCAAGATCAACTCCTACTTCAGGAATTGGAGCAGCAACATCTAAAGACGATGCTGCTGTTGGCTTGAGGGAGAGGCCAAGAGTAAGACACCAGCATAGCCAGTCCATGGATGGCTTGTCAACCATAAAGCCTGAGATGCTTGTCTCAGGCTCTGAAGAAGTCTCTGCTGCTGACTCCAAGAAATCCACGTCAGCTACAAAGCTTGCTGAGCTTGCACTAATTGACCCCAAACGTGCGAAGAGGTCTAACTTCTTTGGATCTCTTTTCCTATTTTTTGTTTAACATATATAAAAAAAATAATGTGTGTTTTTCTTAATGATATATCCGTATCCACAAGCAGGTTTTCCTTGTTGCTTTATTTTGATTCTTTTATATCTACTATGCCTGCTCATGTGATGGTCAGAATTATCGTTGCTGTACAATTTATGTCAATTCAACATTTCGGCTAATTTGGATCCTTTACCCCAAAATTGAAGAAATGTATGATAATATGGAGTATTTTTGCAATACTTAGACATTTGACTACAAGTTTAGGAGAAATTATTTGAGGAACCTGCTGCCAGAGACTAGTAGCTCTTTACCATGGGATGTATGAGAGACTAATTGTAAAAGTACTTTGTTTTTGTATCCATCGGTTATGAAGGGGAAAATAAATTTGAAAGTCTAAATCCGATGGTTTTAATGAGGCCCTCATTGTGGCGGCCTCATTGAGTAATTTGGTTAGCATCAATGAATTTATGACTATTACTGTTAGTTTCCAGGTTTTTTCCTGGCTGATTAATTAATTGAAGCTATTCCTATTCTCTGTATATGAAAGGTCGTTGCAACTTTTGAACTAGTAATTAAACTCTCTGGCCTCTGCATTTTGTACAACATTGCTTTCTAATGAATCAAAATGTGTATATTTGAGTGGGTAGGAACCAAATCATTGGTCTTTTTGCCGTGTATGTTTTTTTTTTCTCTCATCTCTTGTGATGAAATTTCCTTATTTATTATGAACATAAAATAATTTGTCTATCAAGACTTCTTTTGATGAATTTTAACTCTTAAGAAAATCGAACCCAGTCTTTTGGGTGTATTACAAGACAGCTTTTAGAATTTAACTGGCGTTCGATCATTTACTTGGATTATGTTTGTGTGTTCTCTTATCTCAAAGAGCCTGGAGACTTTTTCAAACCCTGTATGATGTTTACGTGACACCTTTTCATGTTTGAGATTATTTGCTCTCATGTCCAAGTATTTGTTCATAATCCTCTATATTGTGTATCGCTTAGGATATGGGCAAATAGACAGTCAGCTGCTAGGTCAAAGGAAAGAAAGATGCGGTACATTGCTGAGCTTGAACGGAAAGTTCTGACTCTGCAAACAGAGGGAACTTCTTTATCTGCTCAGTTAACCCTCTTACAGGTGGATTATCGCATAATTAATCGTGTTGATCATATTTTTGGATGCCCACTCTATTTTTTCATATCATTTGAATTCCAGCATCTTATTTTCTCGGTATCTCAGTATGTAATGACATCGTGTTTTACTTATTATCAGAGAGACACAAATGGTCTTACTGCTGAGAACAGTGAACTAAAGCTACGGTTGCAGACAATGGAGCAGCAGGTTCACCTACAAGATGGTAAGGACCTCATCTTTTATTTCATGGCCGAGGCTAAAGCTACGACTGCACACTATGTTTGCCTTCTCTTAATTTTATCTGATCACTCTGTTTTTTTATTTTTTCAAGTAAATGTAGGTGCTTGTCGGAAGATGATTTTGTATGCATCTTTTACATTTGTAGACTTTTTTCTAGTCTTCAAAGGCATGTTTGAGAGTGATTTTGAAAGGGTTAAAAATCGCTTTTGTCGTGATTTGAAATCATTCCTGAACATGCTTTATTTTTTAAAATCAATTTATATGATATGAAAATCACAGTTAAAGTGTAATCACTCTCAAACATGCCACAAGTCTCCTTATATCATATGAGCTTTTATAGTTGTTAATAAGGGTTGGGGGTTCAGTACAAGCATGGTCTAGGTGAACATTTGTAGAGACATAATAAGGGATGATACTAAACAAGAAGTTGATTAGATGAAGTATCAGAGCATAGCTTTTGAATGATTTTAGGATATGGCGTGTCTTGTTGAGAGAGAGGGAGAGAGAGAATGTGGCAGTGTGTGGGGCAGCCTTTCTTCTCCGAACCCTAGCCATCCCTTCGCTAAGCCTCGGCCCGCTGCCATCATATCTGACTGCTGCTCTCCATTCACCTTAGGTTTTGGTGGTCCTCTTCCACTTTTTCAGAATAATTTTTGCCTCCATGGATATGAAAAGTTGTTGCTTCGGAATATTCTCCTCAGTATTTGGGGTGAAAATGGTACGACTTTTCGTGGAAAAAATGGAAAGTAATCAACACGTTTTTCTTTCAATCCCTCTCCTTCATTGGTTCAAATGTTCCAAAACGAGATAAGCTTTTGTAATCCCTTGGGTTCTGTGAAGCTTTTTTTAAACTTTTCGTTAATGAAAAGTATGTTTTAGTATAAAAAAAAGGCAGCTTGATGAGATTCAATAAATTTCTTGTGGAGCCCATCTTTACTTTATTAGCACCTCTCTTTTCTTACAGCTCTAAATGAAGCACTGAAAGAGGAAATTCAGCATTTCAAAGTATTGACTGGTCAATCAATCCCAAATGGTGGATCAATGACAAACTTTGCTTCCTATGGAGCTGGCCAACAATTTTACCCAAACAGTCAAGCAATGCACACTTTGTTAACTGCTCAACAGTTTCAGCAACTTCAAATCCATTCACAGCAGCAGCAGCAGCAGCAACAACATTTCCAGTACCATCAGATGCATCAGCTTCAGCAACAATCAACTGGCGACATCAAAATGAAAGGTCCGACTTCTTCTCCGAGTCCGAAAGACAGCAACACATCAGATACGTCCTCTCTCACTTGTTGAAAGCAATAGCATAGCAAACCTACCGATTCTTGCCGCTCATAGTTTATTTAATATATATAAAAGAAGAGATGACCCACTGTTCAAAACTTTTATGGTTAGCCATCAGAAATTTAGTTGCATTTGATATCCAAATTTCACATTTCACCTCCAACCCACAATCTTGCAGTTCCCTTCCTCATTCAATGCCTTCCCCTCTGCTTTCCTGCATCTGTCAACTAATGTATAATGTTCATTGTTGTAGACAGAAATGTTTGTAGTTGATTTGTTATTAGATTGTGGATATCACAGTTTCTTTAAGCTTCATATGATTTTCTTCCTCGAACCTTAGCCATTGTTTTATTCTTAATATATGTTTGGAGACTCTCCATCAATTTGCACTTCGTTTGATTATGCAGTTGAATTCTTTCTATTCCAATTGGGAAACATGTCTTGAAATACTGTGGAGAATGATAGGAACTAAAAACAAAGGGGAAAAAAAGCAAAGGAAAGAAAGTTGCAGGGTGGTGCTTGATCGGAGTATTGACTAAAAACCCATAAACTACATTGGAAAATCTATATATAAAAAATGGTTTATTATGAAAATAAAGTTGTATTTTTGTAACAAATTTAAAAAATGAATTTCAATTTAAACAATGATTAGTTCTAAATAAATTATTATTAATTTTGTTATAAATTTTGTTTAGTTACTTTATTTACAGTATCATATAATTCATCAGACCCATATTCACTCAAACTTTCTACCAAACATTTCCTAGTAGATTGAGTTTTTGAAAGAGCGAACAAACTCGAGTTTTGATGGTCACCTACATGGTCTTTGCCTATATTCATTGATACTCTACTAATGTGCATTAGAAGCTTGACAAGTATCCCAAACTAAGATGAGAACATTCTCTATTTTGTAGCAAAAATGTCATATTGCTTCCTGCTAATTTCTCGGATGAAAGTGTTACAATTTGAATGATAATATAACAACCTACTGGGCATTATCATAAAAAATAACTAAACATGATGTTCAGGCAGAAAAAACTTCATTCTCATTGCTAGCGTAGTATAATAATGTCTTAGCCAGAAGATGGATGAGGTGGTGGAATGTGATTTGGAGGTGGCGGTGGGGGCATCGACGACATTTGCATATGGGGCCTTCCCGGCTGCTGCTGCTGCTGCTGCTGCATTGGCGGTGGTGGTGGTCGCCAAAGAGGTGGCTGCCCTCCTCCCATTCCCATTGGTGGAGGGATAGGCATGGAATGACCAGGAGCCTGAGGTGGTGGCGGAGGCATGTTTGGGGGAGGTGGCCGAAATTGCTGAACAGGGGGTAGCATCATGGAACCCGGCATAATTTGACCTTGTTGCTGCGGCTGACCCTGCCAGGCTGGTGGTTGTCCAGGCATCTGCATAGGGGGGAAAGCCACCCCTTGCGGTGGTGGAGGACGTATAGCAGGAATTGGGCTGGGAGTAATGCCACCATTAGCGAAGGGGCGTGGTGGCATCAGAGTTCCCATCGTGCCGTTAGGCTGTGCAACCTTTGGAAGTGTCGGAGGGCCACTTGCAAACAAAGTGTGAGGTCTACTCTTCTGGGGATTGCTAGCAGCCAATACTCTCTCTACAAAATAGACAAAGCCACACCAGAGATAAATAAGCAACAACAACGACAACAATATCCTTCCACAGATCACTAGTTTCAAATCTGTTCATAACCTAAAACAATTCCATAAAGTTCATGGATCAGCAAACAATTCTTACCCGCAGGTGTGCCATGTCGTTCACCCTTGGTATCTTTCTTATAGGCATAAGAAACCGTTATTTGACGATTACAAAGATACTGGCCATTCATTGCCTGTTAACGACAGCAACCACAGAACAAGAAAACAAAAGTCAAAACCATCTGGAGATAAAAGCTTGAACCGAAGCCACGAAGGAAATCAACTGATAAAGAAGCTGAAATTTCCACAAGAATAGCAAACAAAACAAAATTCATGGAAAGTGGAAAGAAAACCACGAAAACAGGACCTAAGAGCTTAGAGGGGCAATGTTTTTCACTGTTTCCATGTTTAACCAATAGAGAACTTTAGCACATCTTGAAACCACAAAGTTCAATAAGAGAGGAGGAGGATTATCTTTAATCACCTTGAAATAAAGAAGCAAAATCTTTCTAATAAGAATCTTCAAAAACATCATCTTTTAAGTAGCTATTCAAAGGTTGCAAATTCAACCCCATACTACTCAAGCTAACATCAGATTCAGCATCAAAACCATTTTCATGAGAAGGAGAAGTAGGGTCTTTTGTCGAATGGATCATTCCTCTGGTTAATGAAGAATCTGATTCAAGGAGGAGAAAACAACTTGGATGCAATGAACGGGGGGAAGAAAAGTGAAGGGACAGAAATTGAAAAGGAAACGTACTTCACTGAGTGGGCTAAAAGACTTGGACAACTTTCTTGAACAAAATTTGGAGACAGAGTTTTCCTTATGAATTGGATGACGTGAAAAAATAGATCCTTATTTTTCGAGAGCATTACAAAGGATAGGTAGCAATAAAACACTTCTTTCACTTCATTAACATTTAGGGGCACTGAAGGCTCCAATGATTTAAGGGAAGCTTATTATGAGCATCATATAGTATCAAAATAGAATGACATGCGTGTAGAGATCGACCAATAAGAAAAGAAAAGACACACCTCTATTGCTGCATCAGATGCTTCAAAAGAGTCGTAGCTAATAAAACCAAACCCACGTGAATTTCCCGTATCTGGATCTCTCATAATCTGGTTAGAAACACGAAGACATTTGAAGTGTTAGAACACAAATGTGCATAAAACTCAGAACTTTCATGTTAAACCGTTCTGATACATCCCCAAAAAGAGCCGAGTACACAGAAGATACAGAGAACTAAAGATCAAAAATAGAGCATACAAAAAGAAATGATCTTTAGTTAAAAAATAAAGGAATAGCGAGGTGTCTTATGCACACAAAACTCTAGTTCTGCGTTGCTCTTGAAGCATGGAAGGAAACTGATCTGATAGACGTTCAGTAAGCAAAATATAGACGCCTCCCAACAGCCATGATGTTATTAACCCCCTAAAAGCCCAAACAAATTTCCAATCTGGCGTACCCAACTACAAGAACTTCAAGATAATAATATTATATAGAAAGCCAGGACATAAAACTAGTCCCATTTTCACAAACATGATAATACTGGTAAGTACTAGTAAGATGTACTAGCCCACATGGAAGAAAAACCAGTTACAAAATCCTAGAAAATATAAAGTAAATCCAAGTAATACACGAAAATAAAATAATAATGGAAGAGAAAACATTTAAAATGATGTTTTATTAGGAAAGACACTTGTTAAAGAGAAAAGAAACCAAACCATAAACTGGCTGCTACCAATCACCCTTATGCTTAAAATAGGAGAGACATGTCAATTTACTTCAACCAAAGAAGCATTATACTGAGAAAGAAAGATAAAACAAAAGAACGAGAAATTGGAAAATTACAGTGATCCATATAATAATAACACCATAACGGTATTCTACTAAAACTGTAATTCTTCATTCTTTTTTTTTTTTTTTTTTTTTGGGGGGGGGGCAAGAAATGGTAGACAATGGATTTACTAAATACAATGCTACAGTTCACAAAAGCAACTACAGAATCTTATGCGGAGTGGCCATGAAATAAATTCTACAAATTTAACTTTTAGACATGTATAAATGCATTATCTACTTGGCTAAAAGATTTCTAAGATCTTGTCTTCCCTTCCCCTTATCTTGAACTCCCTAGACCTTTTATTGGACATCAGAAATTCAAGAGTCCAGTTTTATAGTCCAGAGAAATCTTTTGGCCAAACAGCCAAAATATTTGGTAGGAATGAATTTTCAGGATTCACTTCATAATCATCACAAAATCACAAAGAAATAAATTATTAAAGGTTAAATTACAAATTTGGTCTCTAAAGAAAGCTAGAATCAAGTCCCCATGGATTTAAGTGTTATCTTAGTCCTTATTTATGAGAGTATTATCGAACCATAGAAACTATTTATGACTTATCATACCATAACGACTAAATTCTTACTTTTAAGACCATAGAGTTTAAATTATAATTTTTTTTCCCTAACCATAGGGCCCAAATTTTCCTATTTATGATTTAACCATAAATAAAAGCCAAAAATAACCACAAACTTCCAAGGTTTAGCAGCCCCATAAAGAAAATAAAGGCTAGAGACGAACTATGTTCAACACGCTCCAGAAGCGATAAACATCCAAGGATATCATATACATGTGAAATATACTAAAAGGCAATGTAAAGGTCTAGTATTTCCATGAAAGAACTTCACTTCATTTAGTTGTAATAAGATTACTTCCTTAGAAAGTAACTAGTTTGCTTGAAAATGAGCCCTAATCTCCTAAGATAAACAAAACATAAATGAGTGATGAGGTTTATAGGAAAAGTTATAACCTTAGGATTTGTCACAATGACCCCAAAAGCACTGAAAGTATCGTAGAGGAGCTTTTCATCAACATCCTGAAACAAACGTCAAGGTTTAGTTACCTTCTTTAAATCATTAGCTTGCAAGTCTTCCAAATATAAACATGATAAAATAACTACTCACGGGGTCGAGGTTTCCTATGAAGAGATTTGCTCCCACATCCAAACTCTTCTTGTCTTGAGACGCCTGGAAATATGCAATGCACACATAACAACAGTAAGATATCCATTTTCATAAGAATACAAAATACCATCTTCCTTTGCTGAGCAGTATATCAAAACGCATCCTAGCACACTTGAAAGAATAAATTCCCTACACACCTTGTTTACTCGAATTGGCTTCCCGTAGAGCTTAATCATATTCAGCACCTTAATTGCCTGCAAAAGCATTAAGAATGGGAAATCAAAATACACACATAATTAGGAGGATAGAAAAGAAAAAGAGTCGTAGCGTTACTTACATAATCTGCATCTTCCTCACTGCGAAACTCAATGAATCCATATCCTTGATGCAAGTTAGTAACTCTATCCTTCGGAACGTACACATTAACTGCAAAATAACAAGTGGGCACAATTTTTTTCAAGGAAGTGCTCAAACCAAGAAGGGAAAAAGACAGCTCAAACAGAGTTTCCATAAATTCCAAAGACTTCACAAAACGAGAGAAACGAAAGAACGCACCAACTGGGCCGGCTTGAACAAACAGCTCCCAAAGCAACTCCTCAGAAACCTACAAGAAACACACACAAAAAAAAAAAAAAAAAAAAAAAAAAATTAAATTAAATGAACATGGAAACCCTAGAGGAGGGGATTTGAAGATGGATTAGTTGAAA